CCCATTTGTGATACTGCTCTGCCTCTTGCTGTTCCAGTCCTGGGAACCACACACAGCCATGGCAGTGCACCACCAATCCTGATCTGCGACACACTCAGCAAGCCAAATGCAGGGCTTCTCTCTCAGAAAGTCCTTCATAGACTGAACAAACTCCCACTAAGACTTGGTTGTGACCACTGTTCTCATTGCAACTGGATTCTTAGGAAAGTTGTAAAACAAAACAAACCCCCCAAAACCCTTTCTGTAGACATTGCTGTTATTCCCCCAAATCTCCTGGGACTGGCAGTACTGACAATTAATCAAATCCCTCTCTTACTGTCCCTGGGCACTGAAGCCCTGAGGTTGCTCCTGTTAAATGACCCCTTACATCTGAGCTCATGCTCAAGCTCAAGACTGTACTATTGACACGGAAACACATCAGATAGTAACTGCCTAATCCTTACAGCTCTACAGATGAATGTAACACCCATCTTCAGAGACTTCTAGGGAAGAGTTCTGACCCAGCTTTGTCTTCCAGAGAAACTCCTCACTCTAAATCGTTTCCCATAAGTCTTCAGGAAGTAAGCCAGTTAGTTATCTGGTGAGACACAGGTATTTGCTAGTTCTGGGTAACCTGGGATCCACTTTTCCTCAGCAGATATGTAGAATGCATATTTTTCTGCATTAGTTAATGTCCTTTAATACAACAGCTAAAGTTGCACCTTGCCCACTTTTTCAAGGAAAGTCAATATGAAAAACTAAGCAAGAGTGAAAGGCATGGTCGTAGTCACCTTTGCAGGCTCAGAGTAGAGGAGGCTGGTGTCTGAGGGGTGAGGGGCTGTGAAGGGGTGATGAGCAGATTCTAGTTCTGCAGGGTTTTCTTCTTTGTGAAGGAATAGCGGGAAATCCACCACCCACAGGAAGTGAAAAGCAGTGGGATCACGGAGCACCAGGCCTCTCGACTCCAGAAGGTTCGCAGTCTCCAAGCGCATATTTCCTAACACCAAGCACTGAAAAACGGGGGGAGAAGGGAGGGAGGGAAGGGGAATAGAGAGAGAAAGATGAAGTTGAGTTTAATGTCATGAACAGAGAGCTCTAGGGAGGGTCTCATCATACCCTCTGGCAGGTGTGTGTGTGATCCTGTCTCTGTAGAAAATCACACACACACAGAGTCAGTTTCACTGCATGTTTTTGAATTAGCTGTAGCATCTTTAGAAGGCATCAGTCTTTTGCTAAGACAGCATCACAATAAGGGGAGGCATTTGTGTAGCTATTGCCAGTCCTCAGCATTCTAGATTCTGCAAAGTAAGGCTGAGCAGGAGCTGGAAAGTTCATCTTTCCCAAATGCTCCAGTCTCATTGGGGCAATGCCTGGCCAACCACAGTGATTCACAGACAAAAAAAAAAAAAAAAAAAGAAAA